TTCAACAGTTCTCTGTTCCTTAATTATTAACCTATCTCCATGTTATTATTTTCCGGTTTTTACAATCCTGGATATAAACAGGATTTGAAGAAAACAGCTTTGCTAACTCCCATGACAAGTTATTTAAAACATATAGGCATATATAGTTGTGCCTCAAATCTGAGTTGATGAAACAGTTATAAAAACATTATTTTGAACAATAATACAGCAGATACATATATTTTAAAATGCCTTAGCATGGACAGAAATGATTGCATTTAAACCTCCATCCTATACAGATGGGGATAATTTTTTATAAAGTTTAATGTCATACGAGAGCCAGGGGATTTAGCAGATGAAAATAAAAGTGTCTAAAATGTTTTTTTTCTGACAGAACATATCATTTGTTTCCCAAAGCCATTTTTTATTGCTCATAAGAATTTGTTTGACATGTTAGCTTTACGGAAAGGTATATAAGTTACATTTATACCATCAGGGGCTTCAAATATAATATTTTTTTTTTATATGTGTATACAATATAATTTGCTTATTTGGGTGGCCAATGTAAGGTTTTGTTGTTGTAAGCCTGTGCAGAGTGGCAGTAGGTTTGTGAGTGAAATGTGTAGCAGGCTTCATGGAGAAGGCTCTTTAGAGCTCTTTGTTGCACTTGCTACAATGTGTCCTGGAAGACCAGCATCAGGTTACCAGCCCTTTGGAGATGCCCATAATAAATAAAAAAACAGGGCAGCATGCAAAGCACAACTGTCTGGAGTGTGTTAATACAGACTGGAGATGTAGGAGGTGCAATATGTCACATACAGCACAACTCCCAAAGTGCAGTAGTTTAGCATATGTAACATACAGCACATCTCATGGAATCTGAACTATGTAAAGTACTGCTGCAAAACAAGTGAATTAATGTATCCATACAGCAAAGCATACAAAAAACAATAGTTTGGCGTATATAGTGTATAGCTGAACATACAGAAGAAGTGTAGAGAATGTAATGCACAGTCTGGCATATGTTGTAAACATCACAGCATATGGAGGGCACTGTTATGAAGTACTGAATGTAATCTACAGTGTAAAAAAAAAAAAAATAGTGCAGTATTGTAGAGTACTTCTGAAAACAGTGGTCAACCACTGCCATATTACCATGCAGAGACAAATGTCACAATAAAGAATTGTGAAATACCTGAAAAGAAACTTTGAACTTTGCATGTCAAAGGTGCCATTGATTTGGTTGTTATTTGTTTGATGTCCATTACTAATGTCAAAGTTTGGCATATGTTTCAGTCAGCAAGAGAAGAAACAAGGTATGCATTAAAAGCGTTTTTGCTATAAGTCAGACAAATACCCCGTTAGTTTTGAAATGGTGTATGTCCTGTATACATTTATGTGGACCAGGTATCCTTCATCGTGATTGAAAGATCTGCATCACCTGATGACATGCTTGACAATAGCTTGATATCATGGGACTTTTTTTCAGGTTTTCTTTTTTTTTGTAATAAACTTGTCAAAAAAGTGTGGTGTGTTTATTTACTATTCACATGTTATTGTGAATGAGTAGGTACTATCTGCCCCCTTCTCATTCACATGGGGGAGGGAGGAGGAGTAGCTGGTGGTCCCTTTATATTTGAAGGGAGCTTTCAGATTCTGATAAGCCCTCTGCCAGCAGAGCCCCTCAAACATCAGACCAGGGTTGGAGGGAAGAGGCCCTTGCTCCCATCAACATGGGAACTAGGTGTTTTGCTGGGAAGTTGCTGGGGGAATATTGCTCAGGATGGATTAAGAGGGGGCACACACTTGCACCCTCTTTCTTGGACTAACAGGCTGCATGATTGCATAGCAATCTGGTATAGGATTTGGGGGAGTCCCATTCTTTGTAGCATGGGCCCCCTTTAACATAAATACCAGACCCAAATCAAGGATAGAATGTGTACAAGACCTTCATCTAGAGTCTGGACCTAGGGTCTGGTATAGATGACGGGAATCCACGGCTACTTTATTTACATAGAGAAGGAACTAGCAGGGAACTGTCATTTATTCACGATTGGTATGTCAGATCCATCAGCACCACGTCCAAGTATTAACATATACAAAAAGGAACAAAGACATAAAGGACTTTAAAGCTGCTCATATACACTCAGAATAGAAAACTTTGACACACTAAATGTATAAAAAATGGACTTTTATTACACATAGTAAAATTGATGTTTGTTACATTGTTGACCTTTTGGTCATGGTTGAGTATTGTTAGAAGAGGGAAGGTGTGAAATGAGGTTCACTGTACTGAAGGGTTCATGTTCTTACCCGATTTTATGGGAGGGTCTGTATGTTCCATTTTACTATGTGTAATAAAAGTCCATTTTTTATACATTTAGTGTGTCAATGTTTTCTATCCTGAGGGTATATGAGCACCTTTAAAGTCCTTTACGCCTTTGTTCCTTCTTGTATAACTGTCGTTTACCCACAATTTAAAATTTTTTTTCTTTGAAAATGTTGCCCTTTAAACATTATTACAATTGTTGCTGCCCAGCAAACACAATTGAAAACCCTTTTTTCTTTGCTTTGCTACATGTTCCCTAGAGTGGTGTTAAGCTCTTCTTCCCTCCAGCCAAATCCCATGCTATTTGTTGGACAATCTCTGGCCTATAAGCCTAAAAAATGTCCACTGCTGTTTTTTTTGCATCCAGCTCCAACTGAATTCAATGTGGCTTGGATTCAGTAATGGTTGCCAAACCCGCTTCAAACCAAACCTAGATATAATCAGCTCATTCCTATTCCCTACACATCTTCAAAATTTTCTGGGGTATTTAGCCTAGGTCTACAGAGGCAATTTTAATCCTTTACTACTAAGAAATGTAGCTACTTGCTGGCATTTACTTGAATAGGCTAGAGAAAAGAGATTTGTGGTAGGTCAATCCTGCTTCTAATATTGCTAGCAATTTATTTATTAGGTGTAGAAAATGATGGCCAAACAAATGGTTTCCTATGGAAAGAGCTACACAAGCAACATACAGTAGCATCTTGCAGTAGTAAGTCACATATGAACTGTGTATAGTGCAGGATTGTATGCTATTGCATACTACTTTTGAAGCTCCCATTATAGGGAACCATTTGATCCCTTGTTTAGCAATCATTAATTACATATAGTAAATCACTAGCAATTTTAGTAGTAGGATTAGACTACCAAAATTTTCTTCGTAGCTCTAGCCTATTCTTACTACTTCTACCATTAGGTTTATCCTTTTAGTAGCAAGAGAATAAAATCACCGGTGTAGCCCAATGTTTATCTGCGTATTCGTACAGATTTATAGTTTTCTTTACAAGGTGCAAAGAGAAACTAGTGAAGAAACATTAGGCTGTAAACTTAACTTGTGTGGGGATATAGATTATTATGTACAATAAGAACGTTATGCACAATTTTACAGTTAAAATACTTGTAATATTAAAACCCATAGATCTCAGTAAATCCAGGGACACTTAGAAATGTTGCAAATTTTATTGATTAACTCTGGCCTTCTTTTGAGTGTGATCTGAGAGATTGTAGAGTCAGGCCACTTTCAGCAGGCATAAGAAAAAAAAGTACATCAGGGATTCTTCTAGATGTCTAATCAGTTCTCCACAATTGGCTATCAGAGTTGATGTGGAAATGGGCTCAACTTCGCTAAACCCATACTGGGGTTGTTTTTTGCACAAGCGGGATATTTGTTTCTTCAGCTGTTAAATGGTTCCTTAGTGATTTCTGACAGTTCAATACACAAAAAAAGGAAAAATGTTTAGATCCTGACTGAATATGAATCGACAAGTGGAAAAGCGTGTTTTTTGTAAAAAATGTAGTTACTAGAACATTTGTCTAGAGGAAACCTCGATGCCTTTGTTATTTCCAGTCATCCTCTGAAGTCAAGCTACTTTGCAGGCAGCTGAATGTAAACAAAGTAATGTTTACACTGGCCTGTGTCTTTAGGTAATCTGCTCTACTGAAAGTCAAATTTAAAGCAACTTTTACAACTACTCTGGTCCTATAATGTGAGATCTAAAAACAAAGGAGAAGAAAAGAGGTAATAGGTTAGATTTACAACATTTCTTTGTGTTCCTAGATAGATTTTAAAAGATGTCATGTATTTTTTTAGGTCCAATTATCCTTTAAGTAAGCATAGGTCATTGTAATAAAACAGAATAATTGGAAGGGTGGCTGTCTAGGGTGTGCAGAATGTTTGTACAGATGGTCATCATTTGCCCACCAAGACCTTTACTCTAAAAGTGTAAAAACCACTTTAAAATACAGTTCACTCACTGATTATTTTGTCTGTAAGAGACTATGAAGGTGAGGCCTTCCTGCCATAGTTCCTCATGTTGAATCCTTACTCTTATTGCTACATTCTGCATTACATAACAAAATGAAAACATTATAAGGGAGAGTAAAAAGCCCTTCTCATAAAAAATCCCTTAAGTAACAGATTTGGGAACATTAGCACAGAGACCTTGCCACCAGTTACTGAGGCCCCATTCACATTTGTCAATTTTGAATTGTGGACAGAATCACTATGATTCTTCCTGTGATTCCAAGTCATGGAAAATCACACAATGCATGTTTGGGTGCCAATATTCTTAATGGCAGTGCAATTTTGCCATGATTGTAGAGCAACAGAATCATGGGCCATAGTGGCAAAATGAGTGTTTAAAAAACATACAAAACCTGTCATCCAAAAAGGAGCAGGAGCTTCTTTTGAGCAACAAATACACATAGGGTAGCCTGTTAAAGTGAATGGGCTACCCTACGCATGACACATGAAAACACATGTAGTTAATCCATTAAAAAAATTTCAAGCAGGAATGCTTGTTCCCACTAATGCAAGACCTGAATGGCGTCTGACAAAAGAACAGTACCTACTAAAACCGGAAACATCACCTTGGGATAGACTAAATATGTAGATTTGCTATACATACTTAAAAATATCACATAGCTGTTTTTCCGTAATGTAATCAGTTGATCTGTTTAATTTTATTTCAATCAGAGAGAATAACCGGTGTATGCGACCCCAAGAGTGGGGAGCAGAATTCTACTTTAAGAAGGGAATTAAAACAATTCTTTGGCTGGGTGAAGAAACATGCATATGGCTGCTCCAACCTTAGCATCAAATTATATGACCAGTGGAGGGTGTGGCTGCAGAAATCACACAAAACACGGAACCAGGTAGGTAAGGAACATTTTATTTTTACATTCTTTAAGCTATTACTTGACTGTTTCAGAATTATCATAGTGGTGGTGATCATTTCCAAGATAACAGTAAATGGCTCTTGCATCACATAAGTGTCAGAGGAATCATGTTCAGTGATGTCAATCATTAATTTAGAAACTGAAAAACTAAAACACTGGTCTACTTACGGTATATAAATGAGCCGCAAATATATGTACAGCAAAATGTATCAGTACTCAAGGGGTATATTGTGTTTATGGTGAGATATGTTTTCCTAAGTTTATAGAGGGTGATTTGGTGACATGAAGTGAGGTGAAATTTGCCTCATAATATTGTAATTTGCCATGTTCTGCCTAACTGAACTGTTGCTATAAATACACAAATATAGTGTCCACTTACTGTATATAATCAATAAGTTTCCATCCAGGCTTCTGTGGATTAATGAGTACAGAGGAAGTACTATCCTGTGCTCTACAGTCCAAGCATTTCATATTACTGATTTTATAAGGTTGCTAGACTCATCACAATATTTATTATTAAAAGATTAGTTCATCCTATCATCCTAATAAAAAAAAAACAGGTAAGGGGAACTTGAAAATAAAAACAAACTGTGCAGCTCTGACCAAAGTTGAATAATGCCCTTGTTATAGGTGTAGCCTATGTACATACCTCCGGAAGTGATGTAGTGAAGGAGGAAGTAGTGGTGAGGGTCAGAGTGAGCTCTCAAACACATACTTAGAGCTACTACTGTGAGAAAGAATGCATGCAAAGGGAATTGAATTGGCTGGGAGTGTCTTAGCAACATTCTAACAACAAGGCTGGATGGGATGATGCCATCTCTTGGAGTTTTGGTTAGATTTTGGAAGGTACATAAATGGCCTACAACTAAAATGAGGGCATTATTCAATGTTAGTCAGAGCTGCACAGATTGTTTTTATCTACAGGCACCTCTTACCAATGTAGCACTACTCCCATAGGAGCCACAGGTATACTGTCCAGGTATTTCCCAACAGCTTTGCCCCACAGCCAGGCACACAGGCTCAGTTACACGTTTCTTCAATGACCAGTCTAGGGGTGTTGTTTTTGTTGTTTCTATTTTTGGAGAACTTGTATAGGGTTGAGGGAATTAGGTGGGATACTCCAAAAGCAAGAACTATGTACACTTGAGGACCTGAGTATTCTTTAGAACAAACTATATTAAAGTCTGTGTTTGTAGCAAAAAGTAGACTGCAGCTTTAAGGTAGTAGTAGTAGTTGTAGTAGTTAACCAAAAATCTCTTTCTTAGAGCAACAACAGCAGAGTCCCTTTAAGTAGAAGATTAGATAGACAAAACAATTGAAGACACCAGCCCATGTCCCCTTTAACAGTTGAGAACCAGACGGTTGGCAAAAGCACAAAGATCCCCAAGAAACATAAGGCCCAAGGACAGCTGGTTGCATCCTTCCAACTTCCAAGCAACACCTTTATCAGGTGATACCAGACCAGATCTTCAGCAAACAGCCCCCCGCAGCCAGCTCTGCTAAATTCCAGAGTCTCAGCATCCAGTCCCTCAGGTCACCCTTCTGAGGCCTCAGGACAGCAGACATAACAGCATTGCTTGGAAGGACAGCATGCCCCCTCCAGGCTGAACAAGTCCTTTTCAGAAAAAGGCCAGGGCTGTATCAATATTCATGCTGCCATCTGCATAGCTCCATACACATCATCCAGATACTTCTCAAGTTCTATGGATGTCGAAGGAGCTATCAGACTGGCAGCAGCTGAACACACTGAGCAGACCTGGCTAGCAGAATGCAGCTTAACTGAGTACAGTGGGCAAACTATGCATTTACCTAACAAACAATCACAGCCACACTGACTACAGTGCTATCTATCTATCTATCTATCTATCTATCTATCTATCTATCTATCCCTAGAACCTATCTAGGAGGGTGCTTCATCTGTATAGACAATTGTTTTTGGCAAACCAACCCTTTAAACCAAGGGTGCTATTATGATTAGCAGGAGAAGTTCCTATTTTTTAGTTCATCCAGACATGAATGGATATTTGATTGAAACTATTTCACCTCACTTTACTTCTGTATATCATCCCTACTGCCTTTCTGTACAGTAATCCTGTTAACCACCACTGCAGACTTTTTTGACTGGAATGGCAGATAAGATATATATATGAAAGAAGTGAAAATTAAAAATGAGTACTGGAAAGTATACATCAGACTCCTGCTCAGAGCTTCTGTTTAGCATCCAAGAAAAATGAAATCACAAGGCCATCCCACTGCATAAATTACACTTGTTGCATGTAATATGATGATTTTCTTTTACACAGAAGTTATTTTCCATCTTGCCTGCGGCATTCTGCTTGTTACTCTTTTGATATTTGTTGATTTTTTCGAACATTTGAACTTTTTACTAAAGCTCTGTTCATGCTGCCTGCAAGGACAAGCAGTGTTCACTTTGACTTTGTATTCACTGGTTGATATTTTGAATAATACAACTCATAAGTACTCAATCAATAAAGAAACAAGTAATCACTACTTAATTCTTAATATTTCAGGCATAACATTCTTTTACGGCCAATTCACACCTTTGGGTACAGTGTGTTACTAAAATACACATTATGTGTATGTTGAGATGTAATTATTTTGAATGGCACTCCAATGCACTAAGGCACCATAGCTCCAATACACATGTGTTGCAGGTTACCACAGTGTATGGTAATGCACTGCTGTGTATTGTGATGTGCTGTATTGCCAAAAAATGAGCAGTCTATTCATTTAAATGTACTGCCGTAACACAGCGCATGTTGACATGTGTTAAGGCACTGCAGTGCAAAAGGTGGGAATGGGCTCTCAGCGTACAAATGGGAATACATTGAAAACCCTGCAGTACTCTATATCAATAAAAAGTAACAATAAATATAATGTGAAAGATATTGTTCATTACCCATATTAATAATAAAATCTTTAAATGGCTAGATTGTAAATAATTTCTATTCCTATACTTTAAGCATTAATGATGGTAAATCTTTTTTTTTATGCTTAGCTGGTTTGAATGCAGGCTTTCTATTTTATTGATATAATTGGAGAATTATATAAGTTCATGAATGACATCTTGTGATACATTTGTAAAACAGTCATCATATGGATCAAATTCCAAATCAGATGGTTAGTGCTGGATGTGCGGTAATACAGTAGCTTGAGCTACATACAGTATATAGTATATATACAGCCCACTGGATATGCAGTAATGTACATACAGTATACCACGCTGAGCCAAGCTGGCTCAAAACAAATGTCCCTATGACAGATTAATCTGTCAGCCTGCTGGATGTGTGGTATATACAGTATACTGAGTATATACCACTGTGGTATATTCAGTACACTGAGCCAAGCTGTTTCAAAATGTACCGGTACGTCCCTACTGTAATCAGCCCTCTGGATGCGTATATGTACCGTAGCTGCGGCTACATACAGTATACACTGGGCCAATCACGGCGAGCGATGTATTCTACTAATGAATACAAAGCCTGCTCAGATTGGCTGAGGTTGTGACATCATCAGCCCACCTCTCTGACTCAGCCAATCCGAGCAGGCTTTGTATTCATTAGTAGAATACATCACTCGCCGTGATTGGCCCAGTGTTTACTGTATGTAACCACAGCTACAGTACATACACGCATCTAGCGGGCTGATTACAGTAGGGACGTACCGGTACGTTCTGAAACCGCTTGGCTCAGCGCAGTATACTGTATATACCGCACATCCAGCGGGCTGACAGATTAATCTGTCATAGAGACATTTGTTTTGAGCCAGCTTGGCTCAGCACGGTATACTGTATGTACAGTATTACCACACATCTAGCCAGCTTGACCCAAACAAACTCAAGGTTCACATTTTATACCCCGCGTATAAGACGACCCCCAATTTTTGGGGTATATTTTTAAGTATAAAAAGTAGTCTTATACACCAGAAAATACTGTATTTGAACACCCTGCGATTTTGCAAGTTCTCCCACTTAAAAATCATGGAGGGGTCTGAAATTCACATTGTAGGTGCATTCCCACTCTGAGAGACAGAATTAAAAAAAAAATTCAGGAAATCAAATTGTATGATTTTTAAAGAATTTATTTGTCTTGCACTGCTGAACATAAGTATTTGAACACCTAAGAAACTGCAAGAATTCTGGCTCTTAAAGACCTGTTACTGTGCCTTTAAAAAGGCCACCTCTACTCCACTCATTAATCTAACTTAGTAGCACCTGTCTGAGCTCTTTAAAGACACCTGTCCACCCCACAGTCAGTCAGACGCCAACTACTACCATGGGCTGTCAAAAGACACCAGAGACAAAATTGTGGACCTCCACAAGGCTGGAAAGGGCTACGGGACAATTGCCAAGCAGCTTGGTGAAAATAGATCAACTGTTGGAGCAACTGTTAGAAAATGGAAGAGGCTAAAGATGACTGTCAGTCTCCCTCAGACTGGGGCTCCATGCAAGATCTCACCTCGTGGGGTATCACTGATGATAAGAAAGGTGAGGAATCAGCCCAGAACTACAAGGGAGGAGCTGATCAATGACATGAAGAGAGCTGGGACCACAGTTTCAAAGGTCACTGTCGGTAGAATACTACGCCGTCATGGTTTCAAATCATGCATTGAAGGTTCCCCTGCTCAAGTCATCACATGTCCAGGCCTGTCTGAAGTTTGCCAATGACCATCTGGATGATCCAGAGGAGGCATGGGAGAAAGTCATGTGGTCAGATGAGACCAAAGTAGAACTTTTTGGTCTAAACTTCACTCGTCGTGTTTGGAGGAAAAAGAAGGGTGAGTTGCATCCCAAGAACACCATCCCTACTGTGAAGCATGGGGGTGGTAACATCATGCTTTGGGGGTGCTTTTCTGTGAAGGGGACAGGCTGACTGCACTGTATTAAGGAGAGGATGAATAGGGCCATTTATTGTGAGATTTTGAGCAACAACCTCCTTCCCTCAGTCAGAGCATTG